CATAGAATTCTAGGCTGACAGCTTTTGGTATTCTCCCACAAGGCCCTGAGAGACTGTTCGTTTTTTTTTTTTTTTTTTTTTTAAGGTTTATTTATTTATTTGACAGAGAGAGACAGCAAGAGAGGGAACACAAACAGGGGGAGTAGGAGAGGGAGAAGCTGGCTTCCCACTGAGCAGGGAGCCTGATGCGGGGCTCTATCCCAGGACCCTGGGATCATGACCTGAGCCGAAGGCAGCCGCTTAACGACTGAGCCACCCAGGCGCCCCGAGAGGCTGTTGTTTTAAAAACAAAACAAAACAAAACAAAGCAAAAAGGATAGTTTTTTTCTTTTGTTAAGTTCAGATAATTTTTTATTGATACATCTTCAAGTTCAGTGACTTCTCTGTCATCTCCTTTCTGCTATTGAGCCTATCTAGTAACCTTTGTGTTTTTTAGTTCTAAAGTTTCCATTTGTTTTTGTTTTTGTTTTTGTTTTTTTTTAAAGATTTTATTTATTTATTCGACAGAGAGAGAGAGCAAGAGAGGGAACACAAGCAGGGGGAGTGGGAGAGGGAGAAGCAGGCTTCCCGCCAAGCAGTGAGCCCGACATGGGACTCGATCCCTGGACTCTGGGATCATGACCTGAACCGAAGGCAGACGCTTAACGACTGAGCTACCCAGGCGCCCTCCATTTGTTTTTTTTATAACTTCTTTACTAAGAATTTGTTTCATCCATTTTAAGGTGTCCATTCTCACGTAATGGATCATGTTTTCAATAGTTACTTTAAACGTCTTTGGTATTTCTAATATCTGGGTCATGTTGGGGTCGGCATCTATTAATTATCTTCTCCCTTGAGAATTGGTCAGATTTTTGTTCTTGCAATGTGTGTTAATTTTTGGATTATCCTGGACATTTTGAATATTACGTTGTGAGATTCTGAATCCTGTTAAATCCTTTAGAGAGGTGAGGATTTTTTTTTCAGTAAACCAGTCAATCCAGTTAGGTTATAACTGCATATTCTTTCTCACTTTAGGTAGTGGTTCCATTATCTGTTCAGTTTTCAAAGCTTTTGCTGTGTTGAGTTGCCCTTCCATTCCCACTTAGATTGATCTAGGACTTGGGCAGTGATTTATATTATAGTTCTATTCTAAAAGCCTCATCTATACTTTAGCCGCCCACATGTGCATGCATAGCTTGCAGGGTGAGCCGAGGTTCATATGCAGAATTAGGGGTTTACTCCTCCATCTATCTCTGCTCAGCGATTTCCCCTATACTCTCTGAGTCCCAGAAGTCCTTTTCTTCATTCCTCTAGGCAGAAGCATGGAGTTTTCTAGGTTTTAGTTTCTTACCTGTCAGGCCTTGAGGTGAAGTGGCAAGAGAAAAAAGAAAAGACTAGGGATCACCCAACTTTTTTTCACAACAGGGACCCTCTTCCTGATTCTTCTATTCAAAGGAATGGATTTTCTCTTGTCATTCTGCAGCAGTGTAGTTTCATGGCTGCAGCTGGCCTCAGGCAGGACCTAGAAAAACAGGAGAAAAAGAAAAAAAAATAAGTATTTCCCCTACATTGTTAGGAGCCTTTTGCCATAATCCTCTAGCAAAAAAAGATGCTCTCCTCTTAGTATTAGCTGCTCATGCCTGCTACAACAGTTTCCCTATTTGGCCCACTCATGGGTCAAAGCTAGGAACTAAACGATAAAAAGCAGAGTACCCACCACCACTTATTTGTTTTTCTTCACTTCCCTCCCCAATCTGCCTGCTGTTTAATTTTAAGAGCATTTTGTCCAGTTTTTAGTTGTAATCAGTGGGAGAGAGAGCCCCTGCAATGAGCTTATTACTCCATCTTGGCCAGGACCAGAAGTCACATTGTTTTGTTTTTAAATAAATTAACATTATTGGTGTATAACTATATGACTAAATATACCCTTTTTTTTTTTTTTTAAAGATTTTATTTATTTATTCATGAGAGATAGAGAGAGGCAGAGGCAGAGGGAGAAGCAGGCTCCCCGCGGAACAAGGAGCCTGACGCGGGACTCGATCCCAGGACCCTGGGATCATGACCTGAGCCGCAGACGCTTAACCGACTGAGCCACCCAGGCGTCCCTAAATATATCCATTTTTAAGTGTATAGTTTGTTTTGAGAAATGTTTTCCCTCATATAACCAACCATCACATTCAAAAAATAGAACATTCCCAGAAAGCTCCCTTGTGTCTCTTAGCTTTCTGCCATCCCCTCCTCATCCTGTCCTGATAACACCCTTTGGTGGAGGACGTAAAGGATATTTATACATATGACTAGTAGTTAAAGGAGATCTTTAATATTCCTTTAGGTTGTACTACATGGAATAAGTGAAAGAATATTAGTTTCAGATTGTCAGGGTAAAATTCACAACTTTTTCACTTAATTAACTGGATAATATTGGGTAATTTTTATAACCTCCAAAGAATCTAGTCATGGTTTTCTCGTATTTAACATGGCCGGTAAGTGCTCTCTTAGAGAGAGCTTTGAGAATTAAATGGGGTATATAAAGTACCTTATACAGGGCTTGGCATATAGTAGGTTCACATTATGTGTTATTCTCCCAGTACCTTTCCTTATATGCAGTGTGCATAAATGACTTGAGCCAGCTACATTGAAATAGAGACCAAAATATAATTACTTATTTAGTATTGTGAAATATCTCCTGCCCCATAGCCTAGACCCTGGCAGAATATATAAGTATTTTGGCATTATCATGCCACTGTGGTTTAGATGAATTTTTTCAATCTATCCTATTAGGAAAAGCTTTTGAGCATCTACCTTCGATGTAATATGTACATCAGGCACATACACCTACACAGGAAGGATGAGATAAAAAATAGAAAAATTGTCATGTTTTCTTCATCCTAGGGGACTGCTGGTCTAATTTTCTGAATCCCTTGTGTCATGATCACATGTGGGGATGCCCTACCCCAAACCTATTAAGTAGAACTGTGGGGGTGGACCCTAGTAATCTGTGTTTTAACTGAACTTTCCATAATAATTTTTGATGAGCCAGGAACAGGTTTGGGAACCTCTGGATGGGACCAGGTTTTGATAATGGAACTCAAGCACGGAAAAGACACTCCAGCAACATCAAAGGGCATCAGAGGGCATTTGTCCTCTTCTCCCTTTTTTCTCTTTGCAAGTTGAGACTCAACAACTCCTGAAACATTTTTCCCCAAGCACTCTGTCTAGTGGCAGAGAACACAGTCTATTTGGGTGCCACAGAGTTATAGTCATATAGTTCTCATGGGTACTATTGGACGTAATTCTCCCAATAGATAGGATTATTGTCTTTATTTTACATATGACTAAACCTGAATGAGTAACTATTTCAATTTCAGGCAAATCCTGTTGTGAAAACCTGTTTCCAAACAGAGTTGGATTGGGTTAGGGGGGTTGGGGTGTTAATAAATTGTTGAATCATATTTCTGAGAAAGAGCTGGACAAAACAGTGTCCGTATATTCTGTACAAATAAACATAAAATAGGATCAGTTAATAGGGGGTTTTTGTTTTTTTGTTTTGTTTTTTCACATGTTAACTCTTGTAAAGTGGTGTCTGCTGAATGCTATGTTAAAGGAGGATTCTTAAGGGAGTCTGGGCCCAATCCAATCCTAAATGGATTAGCAAAATGTGTCTAAAGTGGGTGAATGAGAGTTACCATGTCTGCATCTTTGGATTTTTGGGGGGGTATTGAATGTATGTGAATTTTCCTGTGACAAATTGTATTGTTTCATGACATTTTTATACAAGATTATTTTTTAATTAGATCAGTTGTTAACTAATACCGTGGTCTAACTATGGTGACACAAAAGTAGTTTTATATGCAGAGATCCTTTTTGAAATGTTATTTGATTCAGGTTTGAGTTCCACCTCTGACATTGTAACTAGCATTTTAAGTAAAAATTCTGTACCCAGATAGTAACCTGACTAGTTTCGAGAAATGGAAATAAATATTAATAAAAATAAATGACAGCATTAAACAATAGGACAGTTAGTTTTGGGTTTATTTCATGCTGTTAGCCTTTCCTTCTAGAAATGAAACAGCATCCTCAGATTATACTCTCTAAATTATTACCTACAAATATTTTGTCTTTTTCATTAAATATCTCTGAAGGACCTTATGACTTATAAATGGTTTAGACTCATTGGAACTATTCAATACAATAAGGTATTAGAAATTTTATTAATTAGAAATTTTGTTGATTAACAGAGTGACAGTCTGCTAAATCTTAATTGTAAGATTTAATTTTAATTAGTGCTTGATTTAATACAGCAAGTTTTCATTAAATTTCTTTTTGGCTTTAAAAAAAAATTTTTTTATTATGTTTAGTTAGCCAGCATGTAGTACATTATTAGTTTTTGATGTAGTGTTCAGCGATTCATTAGTTGCATATAACACCCAGTGCTCATCACCACACGTGCCCCCTTTCATACCCATCACCCAGTTGCCCCATCCCCCCACTCCCCTCCCTCCTGTAATCCTCAGTTTGGTTCCTGGAGTCCAGAGTCTCTCATGGTTTGTCTCCCTCTCTGATTTCTTCCCATTCAGTTTTCCCTCCCTTCCCCTGTGGTCCTCCGCGCTATTCTTTATGTTCCACATGTGAGTGAAACCATATGATAATTGTCTTTCTTTGCTTGACTTATTTCACTTAGCATAATCCCCTCCAGTTCCATCCATGTCGATACAAATGGTGGGTATTCATCCTTTCTGATGGCTGATTAATATTCCATTGTATTTATGAACCTTATTCATTCTTTTTGGCTAGTTTTGAATTCTGCTTTAGAATCCTATAGAAAACTGACAAATTAGTGTGGCAGACTATTTTTAAATAGTCTTGATCTCACAATTATTTTTGTATTATCTTTGTAGAATAAAGAAATATCTTAGGAAAGGAAATTTGGGTGGGATGAAATTAAATTCAACCTAAAAATTCACTAAATATCAATGAAGTACTGTTACCTTAAAATAACTTTTTTTCCCCCCCTTCTTTAGAATCCAGCAACTATCACAAGAATACTCCTTAGCCACTTCAATTGGGATAAAGAGAAGCTAATGGAAAGGTAAGGAACTATATTGTCAGCTTTGTACTTACAAGTAGCACAGAAAACTTGTTGAACTGAATTTACAAGAAGCAAATAAGGAATTGATTTATAGACCAGTATGTGAAAAAAACCAGTGAGCAAGTAGTATGTGCTTTAATTTCTTGTATTTCTCATCTGTAAATTTTGTAATAAACTTAATGTTAAGGGAACTCGGACTTAATGTTCCTTTTATTTTGGAGCTAAGGTGGGGGCTCTCCTTCAGTATCTTCAAAATTACATCCTCTTGAGTACTGAGAACTAAAAATGTTTTGAAAAAGGGGTTGAGGGGGCACCTGGCTGGCTCAGTTGGTGGAAAATGCAGCTCTTGATCTCAGGGTCCTGAGTTCAAGCCCCAAGTTGGGTGTGGAGCCTGCTTAAAGGAAGAAGATCAAATACATTTTAAAAAGCACTCGATACAGTCCTCAAACATATGAATAATATCTTCCATTAATTACTTAAAATTTTTTTGCCCATAAAACTTTAAAATCTTTGTTAAGCATATTAATGACATTTATTCAGTAAAAATAAGTTGCTCAGGGTATCCTGACCATCAAAATAGCTGTTTGGACTGGTTCTCTGATTTCAGGCAGGATGATATTCCATTGAGTATTTTTTCTATTTTCTCTCTGAAAATGTTTCTGGTTCTAAAAAGGAAGAAATTACAGGACTAGTGAAGGACAATATTAATGCCATTCTTAATCTTTTTTTCTTCCTTAGATTGAAAGTTAGGAGTACTTGTTAAGGTGGTAGGGTGACAGCCTATATTTATTCTATCAGCCATATTCTTCAGTCTAAAATTAGCAATCCTATTTTTAATAAAGAATTAACACTAGTTGGGAATTGAGAACCCAAATATTATGAGAAATAAATGGAAAATACTTCCCATTTGATTTTAAAATTGAAAGAACTTTGCAAAACATATTAAATAATACTAAGAGCATTGATCAGGTTTTGGGTTTTTTTTTTAAGATTTTATTTATTTATCTGTCAGAGAGAGAGAGAGATCACAAGCAGGGGGAGCGGCAGGCAGAAGATCCTGGGATCATGACCTGAGCCGAAAGCAGACACTTAACCAACTGAGCCACCCAGGCGTCCCTATTGCTCAATTTCTCACGCATTGCACCCCAACTACAATTTAATAGTAACAAATAATAGTTATCAGTTATTGAGCCCTTTGTGCCAGGCATTATTTCATTTTATCCTCCTTATAGCTTTATGGTGTTAGAAACTATTATCCCCACTTAATTGACATGGAAAGTAAGGCTTAATATATTTATCTTAGTTTGGTAACAAAAGGAGTTAGCACTCAAACTCATGTTTGTTGGACTCCAAAGCTTATGTTCTTAAACATATATAGTTTTCCCAGGGTTCATGAAGAATAAAATGCTCCTGACTGTGATTGCCCCCGCCGCCCCCTGTGGATCTGACCACCTTTTTTGAAGTCAGTGGTATTTCTTAATTTTGGTAACATTTATTTTCTGGTTTATTTTGTGACAGGATAAGGAGTTTTCATTATTTATATCTGATATTCTTCTGACTTAACAGTTTGTTTCTTATTAATGTATTTCTTCAAAGAAAATTTTCTCCTATAACACTGTTGATACTGCTGAAAGCATTTTTCAATTAAATACTGTACTTAGATGTGGTAAGTATGAATTAAAAAGTAGTCAGCTCCTTGGAAACTTCTCTGTGTGTGAACTTTTCTGTTTCTTTTTGTAATTTCAGTTTTTTATATATTCTGAAGATATGTTATTGGGAACCTTTAAATCTTTAAATAGTGTTTTTAAAACCAATATGCAATATCTTTTTGTCTCATTTAATGAGTTTCACATTATACTCTATGTTTGATATTAACACTGCCACACTTTATGATTACTAATATGTTTAGATTTAATTGCTGCCATTGTAAGTAGTGCTTTGTATTTATTATGTTTTCTGTTTGGTTTTTTTGTTGGCTTGATACCAAGTCTTCTTTCTCTTTCTCCCGGCCCCCCCCCCCCCCCCCGCCGGCCTCCATCTCAGAGTTACATGTTTTATTTCAGTTTTTCTAGTGGTCACCTTTATGAGCACTTTTACTAGCATATATTTAACTTTTTTTTTTTTTTCCTTTTAGCTAGTCTCTTGCATCCCACTGTTTTCTCCAAATTTACTTTTTTCTCTCAGAATATATCTTTAGTCATTTAAGTCATTTCATATGTATTAAAATTTTTAAGGACTCTAAGAGAAATCCTTAATATTCTGAAATTTTGGGTAGTTTTTGAAAGCATATTCATTTGTGCCCTTTAAGTCTGAGAACTAATATTTTTGGTTTGGGGAAATTCTTAGCTATTATTTCTTCTCCTTTTCTTGATTCTCTTAATGCTTTCTGGAATCCCTGTTAGTCACATGTTGAAATTTCTGGATCCCTTTTGGAAATTAATTTTAATTTTTTTCAAAATGTTTTTTCTGTACTTGTCATCTTTGTCTTTCTACTCTGGTCTGTGAAGTTCCTCAAGTTTATCTTTAATTCACTAACTTGCGTTTCTTTTTGCACCCATTCTGCTATTGAGCCATCTTGAGTTGTTTAGTTCAACAGTATCCATTTTATTTATTTTAATAACTTAATTCTTGTTTTGTGGATGCTCTTTTCCTTATCTCCCTTGGCACATAATTCTTTTTACACTAATGTGTTTTCTTCTAGACTGTTTATCAGTAAACAGAATTTAAATTATGTATTGGTATTTAGTACCTTTCAGAGTATGTTATTTTCAAATTGATCAAATTTAGGCTATAATAAATTCCAGTAAAAATCAATATGCATTCTATTTTCACACTTTCAAGTAACTCATTATCCAAAAATGATTATAATTAAACAATGACAGTACAAATGTAAGATATGGCTGAAGAGATACAGGGAAATTTGCAGGCTTAGTATCTTTATAAGAAAAAGGTAGAAAACAAAGCCTTTGAAACAGGAACTTAGAAAAATACAAAATAAACCCAAAGACAGTAGAATAAATATGTAAGATAAAAGCAACATAATTGAAATAGAGAACAAAAATACATAAAACAAAAACATCTTTGAAAACGATTTTTTAAAAGGCAAATATCAAGAGAATGAGAAACAAGCCACACACCTGGAGAAAATATTTGTGAAAGATACCTGATAAAGGCTTATCCAAAATAAACAAAGAACTCCTAAAACTCACTAATTAAAAAAAAACCCAGTGGGCAAAAATCTGAATAGACAATGCATTAAAGAAGATATGCAGATGTTAAATAAGCATATGAAGAGATACTCATCGTCATATATTATCAGGGCATTGCTTATTAAAACAAGATACCACTGCATACCTATTAGAATGGCTAAAATCCAAAAACACTGACACTACCAAATACTGATGAGGATGCAGAGCAACAAGAACTCTCATTGCTGATGGGGATGCAAAATGGCATAGCTGCTTTGCTTTCAGTTTGGCAGTTTCTTACAAAACTAAATATACTCTTTCAATAGGATCCAGCAGTCATACTTTTTGGTATTTACCCAAATGAGCTGAAAGCTTGTGTCCACACAAAAATCTGCCCATGAATATTCATAGCATTTTTATTTGTAATTGCTAAAACTTGGAAACTATTAAGATGTCCTCCAGTTGGTGGATGGATGAATAAACTGTGGTATGTCCGGACACTTGAATATTATTTTATGCTAAAAAGAAATGAGCTATGAAGTCATGAAAAGATATGGAGAAACTTTAAATGCATATTACTAAGTGAAAGAAGCCAATCTGTAAAGGCTACATACTGTATGATTCCAACTATATGATATTACTACAGAGACAGTAAGATCAGTGGTTGCCAGGGGTTAGGTGGAGGGAAGGGTGAATATATAGAGCAAAAAGGATTTTTAGGGCAGTGACACTATTCTGCTTGAAACTTTTATGTTGCATGTATATCACTGTACCTTTGTCCAAACCCATAAAATGTATAACACAAATGTGAACCCTAATGTAATCTGTGGACTTTGGATGATAATGATGTGTCGATATAGATTCATTGATTCTATCACATGTACCACTCTGGTATGAGTTGTTGATAGTGGGTCAGGTTGTGTGGGGGGGGGGGGCAAGGGGTAAATGGGAATGCTCTGTACTTTCTGCTCAGTTTTGCTCTCAGCTAAGACTGTTCTTAAAAAGTAAAAGCTGTGTCGAAAAGGGTGAGGAAATAAACCATTGGCAAATATGATGGGGGTAGGGGAGAAAGGCACAAACAACATTGGGAATAATGCATAATTATAAATAAATATAAATATATAAGTATATATTATATATGTTATATAATTGTATATGTTATAAATTTATAAATATATAAATAAATACTGAGTACCACTTTTACCAGTATATTTGAAAGCTTAGAAATGGAAATTACTTCATTGTCCCCCGAGAAGTAGAAAAATAACCATGGAAAAATGTAGTAAATATTTACTAAAAGATCCCTCTCCTCCAAAAACCACTAGATGATTTTATGGTCAAGTTCTATGTAATAAACCATCAAGGAACTGCAAGTTTCTATTGAAAATTATTTCAGAACATAGAAAAAGAGAAGACATCCTATTAGCCAAATCAGAATAACCCTTGTTACAAAATTTGAGAAAGACTGCATAAGATATAAATCACTTTTATTATGAACATAGCTGTTGAATTCATAATAATATTTAATTAAATTGGAAGAATTAATGGTCTAGTAGGATTTCTCCTAGGAAAAGCAAGAATATGTCACCATTAGGGAAAAAATAATTCATCTATAGTATTTACTACTTTTTAACGGGTTAGTGATACCCATGATTTAGAAAAGAACAATTTTTAACAAACTAAGAAGGTAATTTCTCAGTGTCATGAAAGGCATCAACTAATAATCCAAAGCAGAATTAACCTTAATTTTGAAACTTTGGAAGGATGTCCAATAAAATCAAACAGGGTACTGGCTGTCACCAGCATTTAAAT